AGCTTCCTGGGCTTGCCGCCAACTCCCTTCCCACTGCCTTGCTCTGAGGACTTGTCCAATGGAGCCTCTTGGCAGGTTTACTTTCCCCGTCCCCTAACCTTGCCTCCAGGTTCAAAAGGCTCAAATGCTGAGACCTCAGGAAAGCTTGAGCTTTGGGGTAGAGGGATGAAAATGCTGAAGGTCTCTAGGTAGCAAAAACTTGGGCAATGCCCTTAGCAAAAAGCTTAGCGACAACGACATTTGAGAGCTATTACTGAAGGCATTTTGTTTTAAGCTATGTATTAACATATAGAGTCTATTTAAAGCTAGCCTGGAATCAAATACAATTTGTATGAGACAATATAATTATCATAAAAACTTTCAGAAATTTTTGAAGATCATTATTCAAGTTGCTTTTGCTTTTGGTGCTAGATGTTTTTTTATGCATATTTCCTCTAGGAAGCTCCAGCTTCACTGGCAGGAGAGTTGCTCTGGTCCTCATTAGCGGGTTTTCAAATTGTGTAACAGTGACGGCACCTAAAACTCATTATCCTGCAGTTTATATTTGTTTGTTTGCCTTAGGGTCCTCCAGATAACCTCCCACAAAAACCTGAAGTTTGATGACAATGATTAATTATACTTTCACGATCACTCATGCTTCTTTTTCCTTTTCTTTAGTTAATTTACACATCATAGTTTTACTGCAGAGGTAATAATATTTTATATTTAGAAGCACTGTGCATTTTCCTACCTGCTTTCATATAATTTCACCCATTTAATCTCATTATGACCCTCTGTGGTTGGTTTTATTATTCCTTTTTTACAGATAGAAAATTTGAGGTTCAGAATAGCTTCTTGGCTTCCATAAATTCAAGGATCTATTAAGAAGAAAAGCTGGTACAGTACTTGAATATCTTTTCACTGCAACTCCTGTGCTTTTTGAAGTATATACAAAATGTTTTCAGTATGAGTGTGCTGAAGAAAGGAGACTAGGTAGAGAAAAAGCAACAAAATGGGTTTAGGTACTTCCAATAAAAAAATTAATCATGTATTATGTATTCTTTTCCTTTGTTAAAAAGTATGTTAAGAGGAAATTAAGTACATTGCTTGACTTTACACTGATGTATATAAATAAGTAAATCTAACCTTCATACCTTCTTGTATCTGTACAGATTAAAAATCTAGTGCCTATATATTAGTCACAATGTCCCTCAAAATGAAAAAAAGACAAATTCACTTTTTACTTGTATTTATTATAAGTAGGTTATATTCTTAAAATTTCTACAGAGGCACAATTCAAGAGGAGAAAAGATGTAGGTTTTTTTCCTTCTATTTGAATTGCTATTTCCTTAGAGAATCATGACCCTGCACAATAGCACTTTATTTCATTCTTTTTCTCCTTTACCCATTGTACTGATTTTGTATAATTCCATGCTTCCCACAGATTTTGGGAAAATGAATTATGAAATATTAGTATACATGGACATGAAAACATTGTGTAAGAAAAAAAGCAAACAATAATTGCCTCTGAGACCAAAAAGAAAAAAAATTCTATGATTTATATCACTTGTAACTTCCCACCAAATGTGGACTCGTTATTTCATAACATGAATGATTCTTGATTTCTTGAAGTTTTGAATTAAAACTTTCTTCCTCCTCCTTCTCCCTCTCTCCTTTTACTTCTTCTCTTTCTCCTCCTCCTCCTCCTCCTCCTCCTCCACGTTCCCCTCCTCTTTCCTCCTACTTTGTCTTCTTTGAGATCATGCCTCACTATGTTGCCCAGGCTAGAGTGCAATGGCTATTCGCAGGCGCGACCATGGTGCACTACACCCGCAAACATCTGGGCTCAAGCAGTCCTCCTGTCTGTCTAGATTGTCTGACTCAGTTCACCACGGTATAATAAAGAGAAAAGAATTCAGAGATAAAATACCTTGCTGGAATAAAGAATACCTATCTGTCTAGGGTATCCTTTGCCATTTCTTTTGGAAATTTGGTAAATTTGGACTTAGTAAATGAAAATCAAAGAATAAGGAATCCTGCAAAGGTACTTGTAGGAAATAAATAAGATCATTACTGGTTTCTATTCCCATAGGAATTCTAGGAAGAAACAGGAAACATGCAAAATTATTAAGTACAATGGCTGCATATTGTGGAAGCGTCATAAGTGTAACAACCTTTTACTCAACTGGGCACTCAACTGATAAATACATCACAAAAGACTTGGAGAAAACAGACTGTTTCTATATCTCTACTCAATAACCATATTTGGGATCTATGCAGGGCTGAGCTTGCAAAAACAGAGACCACTGTGTGTCATGAAGGTGAACCTGGGACACACAGGCATTAACACTGTGTGAAGCACTACCCTTTCATGAACAAAATAGTAATCGTTTTATTCAGCCTGGAAAGGAATTTAAAATAATTGGCCCTTCGAAGCTTTCCCAATAAAAATCACTTTCACCTTATTCAGAGTTAAGAATTTCTAACTCCCAAGTCAAATAAAGTTCTATAGATAGCTCAATTCTTACATTTATCACAGTAGGATTGGAGAAAGTATAATGTATCATTAAGAGGGAAGATTTGAATTCCTGGATTTGAATCTCAACTGTACTATATTATCTGTATAACCTTCCCCAAATTTTTTTCAACTTCTGAACATCTCAGTTTCCTCTTCTATATTCTTGAGATCAGAATAGTACCTATTTTTGGGGAATACTATGAGGACTGAATAAAAGAATACATGCAAAGTACTTCATACAGGATCTGGCACATATTAAGTACAGTTAGCTCTCCACATCCCTGGGTTTGGCATCTGTGGATTCAATTGAATGTGGATTTAACCATCAAGAATCAAAAATATTACCAATAAATAAAAATAACAACATGACAGTAAAATAATGCAAATAAAACCAATACATTATGACAACAATTTACATAGCATTTGCATTGTATTATCTAGAGATGATTTAAAGTATATGGGAGAAGGTAGGTAGGTTATATGCAAATACTGCACCACTTTATATCAAGGACTTGAGTACTGGAAGATTTTGGTATGGGGGATGTTCCCGGAGCCAATCCCCCACAGATACCAAAGGGTCAACTGCACTTAGTAAATCTTAGCTATTTTGTTGTGTGTAAATCAACCTAACAAATTTCTATGCATACTTTGAGGACAGGGTCTATGTATTATTTATCTATATCCATGACCAAGTCTATCATATAGTGAGTAATAATTGCTTAACAAATGAATAAGGTTAATTTGCGGTAAAAATTGTTTTCTTTTCTTAAAGAAAAACAAAAGACATATATTATCCTTTATTGCAATTGTCACCAGAGTTTCCATATTAATCATTGGGATAAGGCTATTAATAGTTTGCTGCACTTTAATTGTATGTCTATTTTAGATATTAGCATACTAATAAAAATTCATATCTCTACCCTTAGGTACATACAGAATTATATTCACATTTAAGTTGTGAAATATTTGTAATATAATTATTTACAGAAAACAATGAAACCCTTATTAAAACCATAACTAGGAATAAATTATAAGCCCCAGAAAAAGGGCATAGGCTACTCACTTGAATTTCCTTTTATAGAGAATATTCACAGATCCTTTTTTCGACAATGAAACTACATTGAGTCTGTTTATATTGAACAGTGTACAAAGGGCAGCATTGGGTGTTATAAACTTGGATGAACATTCCAATTAGCATCAACATATCAAAAAGACTGACTCTTATTATTACTAATTCTGCAATTTACTTAGCCTATAAAAAGGCTTTTTCAAATTTAAAAACAAGTAGGCTTTTCTGAAAAAAAATAAATTTAGTAACTATGGACTATTAGGTTTTGAAACATCCTATAAACTAGCACAAGGTTAAACATGAGGAGAATGCATATCTTCATAGTTTATGGCTATTTAGACAGTACCCATTAGAGTATTTTACTGTTTAAGAATATTTCTGTTAGCATCTTATTTTATATGTTTTTAGGAGAGAAAATGATGATACATAGAATTATGATAATAGTTACCATATATTGATTTTTCTAATAAGTAAGTGGAATAGTAACAAAGGTTTCACATGTACACAGGAATCCTCAGTTATCTGTGGTTTCACTTTCTCCAGTTTGTTACCTCTAGTTAACCACAGTCTGAAAATATTTCATGGGGCATTCCAAAAATAAACAATTCAAAAGGTTTAAACTGCACATGATTCTGAGTAGCGTGATGAAGTCTCCTGTTCTTCCACCATCATACCCAGGAGGTGAATCACCCTTTTGTCCAGCATATCCATGGCGTATACACTACCTGCCCTACACAATGTCACTGTATAGGAAAAACATAGTATACATAGGTTTTGGCACTCTCAGGCAACAACTGGGGATCTTGAAATGTATCCCTTGCAGGTAACGGGAGACTACTACAATCCCATTTAAGATGCGCAGAATCGCTAGGTGATAAGCTCCATAAAGACAGAATCATATCTGTCTAATTTATTTGTCAACGTCCTCATTAATCAGCACTGAGCATGGAATAGGTGACATTCAATAAATATCTTAAACGACTGATGATCTTTCCTTTGAAGTAGATCCTTACTGGAAAAGGATTGTCTCAGTCTGCTAATATTTTACTATTACCGAATGCATACATTTTATCAGCTCTACCATTGTTTGGCCTGGTTATCATCATTTGAATGTACTATACTTTCAGTGAGAGGATGCCTGAGAGATACTTTTGCTATATCACATACAGAAAACTGTAGAAGAATGGAAATTGTGTCTTAAATGTCTAAGGAAGTTGCTAACACAAGTGCTGTACTTAAAAGCCTGGAAAACTCTGGTCCTGATCCACATAAACTGAAGGCTGGAAAAGATGATCATTAAAACCACCTTAGAAAGCACAGTCAGAATTTGTCAAAAGCTCTCTTGAAATTATGTCTCCCATGAATAAAACTTAAAGAAATACAGGCTAAAGTAACCGCTAGAAGCCGAAACCACAAGGCGCAGCTAGGACTTACCAGAACAGTCACCACACGTAGAACCACGCCACGCATGTTATTCTCCAGTTTCTTATCTGTCAGTGACCCATTCAGACCCGTGACAGGATTCCAGCACCCAAGCTGAAAGATAAAATGGCTCTGGTCACTTTTCTGCCTGAACAACAGTCCAATCACCACTGGATAGACCTTACGGAAAACTGTGTGATAGCTCTCGAAATAACCGGTATCAAAAGTGTCCTGCACAGGTTTTCATTTTTAACAGTAAATGAAGCAATCAGAAATGTCATTCTGCTTTTAAATATCATCGTATGGCATATGACAGTACCCAACATGCTTTAGAAGGCTCATTGAGGACATTTGACTTAATGAGGAGCTATATATACATCAATAATTCAGGCTCAGTAATGCGCTAATTGGAGAAATAATAGCGCATATAATTCTAGCATAGCGTCTGTTCTAAGATATCAATTACTGCACAAATTAGATTTTCTTATAGTTTCAATAGTTTTAATTTGATCATATACTGCTTTTACTGGGAAAAACTACAATATTTTTAATGTGATTAGAAGGGTAACTGCTTTTATTTGAGGAAAACGTCATGTATATGGCTTTGTTGTTTTCAAAGTATTCACAGTACATAAAACAATATAATTCGCTTTTTTTGTCAGTGCTATCAATTTGCTTGGAATATTTTGGCAGCAGCCTTTCCCTTAAAATCTTACAATGATTCACTGCTCTTTGCTCTCCAAAATACTGGTTTAATTTTATACTCTCATGTAGTTCTTATCTCTTGTAATACCCAAATCTGAAGGCTACCAGTTTTAAAATTACTGCCTATAAATCTCAATGGGATAAAATTGATGACTCTCGATCAAAAATAAGGAGGAAAGAAAGAGATGATGTGACTTGAATTACCAGATAACTGTTCAAGGAGCAAAGCTGCAGAGAGAATGCTGCAATGCACATCTGGGGAAGAAATGTCATGCTGTTGGTCCTGATACCGGCTCCTTGAGCCTTCACATTTGGAAAACTCTTCTGCATTTGCACATTTTAAAAATGTAACAAACCTTTTAGTCATATTTAGAGACTGTTTTGATTAACTGAATGGTTATAGAGGCAAATGTTTGTGCTGTTTCCTCCTGATGATTTTGATTTCTTTCCTTGTATTGCATTTTGTTTGTGGCTTCCTAAGTCATCAAAATACTGGCTGGCAAGTTTCCCCCCAAAATAAAAGATTTTAGGTGCTTCCTATTATAACCCAAGTTTCTCTTTGAGCTTCTCAAAAGGAATTTAATTAAGGAAACTAAAATGTACATAATATATCTTAAAAGAAGGGATGTCACAATATAAACAACAAAGCCAACTTTTTCCTTATTAAAATAATTTGGAAAATGCTGCTAATTGTTGGTTTCAACTGTAAAAGCGCATTAAAGTCATACAATGATATGTCATTCTTAGTTACATAAAGAGTCTAATTAGAACTTAGATCCAATTAGCAAATCCAAATGTGTTGAAAGTCTAATTATCAGAGATATTGTAGTCCTCTTGCCAAATTTAAAACTTTGTGAAATTTCTTTTGAGCTTTTGTTCTCTTCTGAGGTCAACAAAAGTCTATCCTCAATTACATTCCCTGATGTGCACTTTTTATAATTACTTCTTCAAGAGGATTTTATTTTCCTAGACCAAATAATATTGGTGAAAAAAAATGATCTATGCAGTAAATGAAGTGCTAAATTTCCAATGTGCTATCTCCACATTTTACAACAGTATTACTTAATTTTAAGCTTAACAAATAGCTTTTAGGGCATAATCTTGTTCATGGTAAATAAATCTAAGCTGCCAACTTGTCTGACCCCTTGGAGTTGTTTTTTAAGTTGGGCAAACCTATTGTCAGTTTGCCTAAATAAATGGTATCTATTAGTGTCAACTTGACTATAGCATTTTGGTGTATTGAGTAGTCAAAATATTTGCTACTGGATTAGCAACAAAATTTGTTAAGCGATTTGTTTCAACAATGCTATGGACAAACACTTTAAAATAGATAATTTTTAATTTTATTCTGAATTATGGTCTCCTTTAAATATAATTAAATATGGTCAATGGAGGTTTGAAATACCACCACCAAAACATTTGAAGTAAGTAGAATAGGTCAACACATCTCATCTTCACATCTAGGCAGTGACTTAATCATTATTTATACCATGTATGATGTTTCTTCTCATTTTTTTAAATTTTAATGTTTGGCTAGACTCTGTCTCATACATTAATAGATCATAAGACAAAAGTTTATTTCCTCTGTTTGATGAAGGATTCTCACTTTTCTGTATTCTCTCTTTTTTTTTCTGTCTGACTCACATGTGTTTTGATAATAGCAGTTTTATAGTTGTTCTTTTTAATAACAGTGGTATGGATTTTAGGATTGGTGACTTCATTTTAGTTAGCTCAATTCTTCCTTCATATGCACAAACTCCAAAGTTTCCTAAATATTAGCTGTGGACATCAAGAACTAGATGCTCAAAGACTGAATTTTGGGCTACAGAATGTTAAGGATACAGATTATCTGGAAAACTACCACATAAATAAAATAGATTCTCTTATCCCATATCAAAATGTGATATAACACAGATATCATTAAGAAATTAAAATAGCACTTATATCCTATATTAAATATATTTTTGAACATTGTTTAATATTTTCATGTGTCAGCCATGGTACTGAGCTCTTTAGACATCATCTCATTTAAGCCTCAAGATAATTTTATGAGAAGGTGCTGTTACCATTATTATTTTATAAACAAGGAAACTAAGAACTTAATTAAGGTCATGCATCTACTAAGAGCTGAAACTAGGATTTAAATTAGTTCTTTATTAAAAGTCCACATTCAGTGTTCTTCCTTGTGTTGTTTTATAGCCTATGAATCCTTTTTATAAACCTGATCTATTTAAGGTAGGTAGAGATGATAATTCTATTTTATAGTTTGGGAAACTGAGGCTCAGAATTATTAAGTTGTTGACTCAAAATAATAGCTAGTGGATTCACATCTTGGCAATAAAATTTAAAAGGCGTATCTCATCACCATCATAATTTCATAACAATTATTATAACACTTATATAGTACATAGTAGGTGCCAATCATCTGACTACTTACATAAACTCATTGAATTCTCAAAACAACTCTTTGAGGAAGATAACTATTATTATTCCCATTTTACAGAAGAGGAAACTGAGGATGGAAAGGTTCTGCTCTTTCCCCTATGCTATCTTTCATCCATTTAAGCAGTCAAGAGGGCATTGGGTAAAGCAAAGTAGTAAAAAAATGAAGTGGACAAGACATTGTCAAAAATATTTTTGGAACTCTATACTTCGTGTGACAGCTTCCTAAAAAGTAAGCATGGAATACCTTTTATTTATCCTAAATCCTGATGATACTTCTCAAAATGTATGGCAAAGATGAATGAGAAATTAAACAGCAGCAGCACACAGAGGAAATGTTGATTATCCACATCATTTTGAAGGATTTCTCAAGTTCTAAAATTCCTTAATTTCTATTCATATCTACTCATCTCCCTAAGGTTCACTTCAAGCTATTTTGTTTGATTGTAATAACTCTATTTTCCTGATAATATGCAGTAAAAATAAGTGAGGTTTACACAGATTCAAATTGATTTGTATCTGCAACGGGTAATATTTCTTGCAGCATAGCAAGATTGACTGGCATAGTACTTGCTAAAAACTAAAAGCATCTCACTTAGGTTCAAGTGTGAGGCTTATGTAACAACTCCTATGGTTTCATTGTTTGAAATTTCATTAATTTGACTTTGCTTGCTATGGGAAGAAGGTTGTTTTGTCTAGTTTTGTTTCTGGTTTTGTTTCTGTTTTTTTAGCAATGAGGCCAAAGACTAATAAAGATAATGCACACAAAATCTCATACTATATATTCAGCTGAGTGCTTTCTAAATAAAAAACAATAAAAGTGGCCCCTGCAGCACATGAGATTTACAAAAAGTCACACTGCCAGTGGCAAAAAAAGATTCACTATCTTCTGTAGCTTGGCAGTCAAGAGAAAATTTAGGAAGGATACAAAAGTAAAGAACAATTCAATTTCCTTTCAATTACAGCATATCGATTTCCTATAGTATTTCTGGTTATCACCTGAAGTCATTTTAAAACCTTAAAAATGCTTAGTGCTTTAATTATTTCCTTCATTGAAGCTTTGGCAATAATAATCTTGTAGCAGTCTGTTAAAATCAACGTAATATCTTGTGTTCAACAAACTGGTTGATGTATCTGTATGATCACAGTAGCGTGCTCCTAACATTATGCGTACTAATGATCAAGTTTTATATATTTACTCTCTTTTCCTCAATATTTCCACTTTTTATTTGTCCATGGGCTGTAAGGGATGACTTTTGATTCTTGGTTTTCACATCACTATTTTTCAGGCAGTGTTATAATGTCAAAAGAGCTGAACTGCTCAACTTTAATTTTACGCTCAATAGTTTGTAGGCTTTAATAACAGGAGTCAAGAGAGCTCTTAATTGAATACCAAATGGAATTTTCTGCATTTATTAGCTTGTACTCATATGGAACAAACGAAGCCTGGCTGTCCTACCAAAACTCCAGCTGCAGGACATGAAATATCCAAGGCACTGAGGGCTGTACGCTCCCAGCTACTATGTTTCATTTACTTGCTTTCTCAGTCTTCTAACAAAAAGAGGGAACAACAAAAGCATAGGCAAAGCAGCTTGAAAGCTAGCCATTTGGAAATGCACAGCATTTATCTGGTAGATATTGCTTCCTTAATGGGAAAAAAAGTGTAAAAAATACACATGGCAGGTTGACTCAGATACATGTTTTATAGAGTTAAATTGGGATATTTTCCTTTTTGACATGTGTAGGAATGCAGTGTGCCAGTAATCCGTCCAATAATAATTTTCTTTATGGCATTTCCACCTGTAAAATAAATTCAATTTGTAAGACATGCTCCCTAGAGGATGATTATATGCTCTTAAGGTTCTATTACTACAGTTTGGTCATTACCATGAACTAGTAGTCATTCTTTAGGTTATGTGGAATGCCTTAGCACTTGAGTTTCCTTTAGGAGAAAATGTCTTTGAAAT